GAGCCCGAGCTGTTCCAGCGCCCTATTTAACTATTTTAAGAATCCTGTTCGTCGATGTTCGAGCTGAATTTGTTAAAAGCTTCGTGTATTTCGTTTGCTGTATTTTTTTTTTTTTTGCACTTCGATTAGTTTGGTGAGCTCGTCTACGTGAGTTTTGGTTTCTTCGATTGTCCTGTTGGCCATTGCTAGAGTCTCGGTGAGGCTATTAATTTGGGATTGGAACTCTTCTGCGGTTTTCTTGCTCTTGGCCTTTTCTTGTCAAGGGCTTTTGCTAGCAGCGTTAGTTCTTTTTGTTAGTTTCGCGCCGATTTTTTTACTTTCGGCTGTGTCGGCTATTGGCTGAGCGTGGCTTACAGCCGCCTTCTGATTGGTTGCCTGGGCCGTGTGAAGGTTTGCCCAATTCGCGCTGATGATTCTTAGGTCGGATTGTATTTCCTTGTCGGTTTTTTCTGAGACTGGTGGAATCTGGCTACCTTCATGGGAATGTTTGTGAGCTGGGACTCACGCCAGGCCATTTTTGCGTCTTTGAGTGATTGGCAGCCCTGGTATTTGGCGCTGTGGTTGCCTCCACAGTTGGCGCATTTTCTTTCCAAGTTGCCGACTTTGTAATTATTTTTGTTGGCATTGGCTTTCTCACAGTCGCGGTGCCAGTGGTTCATGCTGCAGTACTTACAAACCGGAAGTTCTTTCCGGCAGCTGGTGTGGGAGTGCCCGAAAACCTGGCATTTCCGGCACTGAATCACGGGTGGAATAAACTTTTCAAAGTATCTTTTTCTTCCTTGGAAGTTAATACAAGCGGGGAATTGTGTTCCTGCTATGGTGATCTTTACTAGCCAGGTGGGGTCTCCGTTGCCTTTCTTGATGCGTTCTACTTGCATGAATTCCAGATCTGGATTTTCGTTTTTCATTTTTTCGGTGATCTTTGCTATGTCGATGTTAGGGTTAATGCCCTTGACGGCAATGGCGACCGAATCCTTAACAAGTTTTACCGCGACTTTGATGTTGCTCGCACAGGTAAAGACTTTCTTTTCTGCTGCGTCTTTAAGGCCTTCGATCAGGTCTTTTGTGGCCGCGGTGCAATTTAAAATGACAATCAGGAGTGCTTGGTGGATTATCACTCTGGCGAATGCGTTAATCCCGACTTTGAGTCCAACGTCCAGGATTTTTTTTTGCCTCGCCTGGTTGTGCCTTAAAGATTGACATTTCTTTGAATTCTACTTGTGTAATGTCCAATCTGACAGTTGTTCGGTTGGTTGGCGCTGGGGCAGGGGCTTCGGGGATGATTGGCAGGCCCTTGCCCCTCCCTTTGGTGCGTGGCTCTTGAGGAATGGCCACTCCTCGCGACACTTTGTCGGCGTAGCTTGGCGTCGCGACCGCCTCACTGGGCGCGGCTACCGATGTCGTAACAGGAGGAGCGGCTTCCTGCACCGGCGGGTCTACAATTGTTTCTTTATTAGCAGTGATCGGCGGGTCCTTCCCGGCGGGCATCTCTGCGAACTTTTCAGGTTCGGTCGATTTGGCCCGTGAGCTGGCCCTCGTGTTCCGAGTCATAATTGCTTATAAATTAATTGAATTGTTTTTTTGGAGGTTGAACGTACGCCCTAAGTCGCGGTTTAAAGCGTTAGTGAAGTAGTTTATATTTACCTAGGGCGTTGTTCCTTCCTCTGGTGATCCTCGGCTCGGTATGTCCCAGTATACCGAGACTTCTTGTGATGTCCTTGGAAAATATAAACACTGGTCACCTGTGTAGATCGTGTTGCCGGCAGCTAACCAAGCCCGACCGTTCACCGAACCAATTCAAGCGGTCGATACCTTTCCTCGAGTAGCCAGCCAGACAGATCAAGCCGTGTAGGAACTTAGCGATCTATGTCCGTGCAATGGCGTACCGATTCAGGCAGATCCAGCCGAAAAGGTCTGAGCGACTGAGTCTGGATGGTAAGCAAACCTTGCTACTCGATCACAGAGACTATTACTAGTAGCAGTGGGGCAACGAACTCCCACTACTACAATCGATTACAAAATGGTGCTGTAACTGGCTACTGAAACTCCACCCGCAACGCCGAATGTCAAACAACCAGTCAAGACAGACTCAGCCGAATATCAAGCGAATCGGTGTCAAGTATCTGATTATCGAGAATCGGGCTACGAATGGAGAGACAGCGTTCAAGCGTAAACGAGAGGTGCGTTCGTGTGGACAGTCTGCGCTCGAATGAACCCGAACATCAGCCAGAATGAGTTTATAAACAGCATCCTATCCCGAAAACTGGTGTATTTTGCCCAGGTCAAGTGTCATGGTGGTTAAGAGAAAACAAAGCAGAGACCGCCCTCCACTAATGTGGATACATAACATTGAAGATGCATTGGCTAGGAAAGCACACAGGACCGGAGTCTTTCGTGAAGATCCGTAAAACAGCAGTCTTCATTTAGTTCGACGTTAGTCTTCCCAACAAGGTTCGATTGATAACTTTTTGGGCTGGTCTACTTTCCGAGGGATTACGGGTGTGCCGCTCTGTTATCTTGCATTTATGTTTTTCTTCCGAAAAAAGAGAATTCCTGTGTCATAGGTTGCAGCACTCTCTAGGGTGTTTGTGTGTTGCACTCAGTTTGTCCACGTTTTTAGTGTTAAAAGCGCTAGCGTGCTAAAAAAACACGCAATATCAACGGCATTGCGAAACACCCCCATAGAAGTGCGCTAAGTCCGCGCGGCTCAAAAACTGGCAATCAGAAATGAGATTGTGTATATGGGCGGGCTCTGGGGGGACTATGTGGAATCACGGCCATCTTGAGGATATAAATATATATAAACATATGCAGTCGGACGTGTGTGGAATTAACCCAGTCCCAAACTCTCATGTTTATGACCAAAATCACCGCAACACATTAGCCAGTCAAACAAGGGTCACCACGTGCTTAAATACGCACCAAGGCATGTAAATAAAAACGTTACCTTTTACCTATTACATATTTACAATTGAAGTGTCGTAGAGTTAGAAATTTGCTTTTTAATAACTAATAAAAAGAGTTTTTGAGGTACACTGTGTTCACAACAGCAACTGAATGTTTGAAATGTTTTTCTTTTTGTCCTACCTATAAAATGAAAATATCTGTGTGTTTTTTTTAAACATACATTGTTTTGAAGTGAAAAAAGTGTCAGTTAAACTTACTGGCGTATGACAAGTCAAGGAGCAAGAGAATCATGTACCGAACTGTGAAAAGCAAAGAGTACTGAGCATGCCTCGACCCGCCAGATCATGCTCATAGAATCACTCAGCACGCACACGTGGAAACAGTCCTTGTGTTTCCAGCTCCGCATGACATCAACGTCATCACCTTAATTGTCATGCTGCTGGTAGTCATGAAGAAGGCACTACTGGCCTCTTCGACTGTTCTGTCTGCAGACCGAGACGTGAATGCTCACGAACTCTTGTATCCAGAGTAGAAAGAGAGTAAAAGTACAGATGTAGTTCTTCGAGAAATACAACAACCAGCTACAAACTGGTTGGAGAAATGAGATTTTAACAGTTAAGACACAGATCTTGAGATGACTGATTGACGAATCGACACCATAATATACCCAAAAATGCCCCTCTTCCCGCCAACTATCTTATGGTTTAGATGATGAGAGTTCCAATAGCGCACTGGTTGTACACACGAGGAAAACTTCCTCCCCTGCGCCCTTTCTTGCTGGACGCGCACTTAGTTCAAATTTCACTTAACCTTACGCGTTTCAGGAAACATCTGATCTTAACATCAACAATTGTCCCTAATGGTCTTCAGACGCAGTAATGGGTACAGAGCCAACCCTTTGCATAAATCTGGATAGAGAACTCAAAACAACAAAACCCGCTGGGGGTCGAGGCTCAAGTCCAAGCCAAAATTCGAGATAATTCTGCTGCTGTAAGTGGAGTTATCTACAAATGGATTCGTTCAAATGAAAAGACTGCTTTTGCCTTGAATAAAAGTAGTCTGACTGGAGGTGATGGCAGTAACAAAAGCAATGATGTGTGCTTTCAAAGTGATTCCATGAGCATGATTAATTAGGATGATCGAGACAGGATGGATTCTAAGAAAATGACTGGATTCGCCGAACAGATCGTGTCTGATATTAATAGGTTTCATTTGTGTGCCAGGGCACTCAGAGTTTAAGAGGGTATGAACGAGCTGGTTGAGCGAGTCAAGAACAAAACTAAAGCAAAATGATGAATGGATGGGACGACTTAGTCAAACTTAAGAGGGAACACAAACAACACCTACGTGTACGGATAGTTTAAGCTGACAAATCATATTCGGCCACGTTATTCAGCAAAGCGTTACAATATTGATTATTCGTTATTAAAAAAATTGTTTGGAAATTATGGACTTTAACGGCTCTAAAATTAGTTCTAAAGTAATTATTATTGAAATAAATAAATACTTATGTAGGAAATGATTTGCCTTTATAGATGTCGCGGATAGAAATAGAAGTAATGTATGTGTGTCTTGTGACGTTCAACCCTTACCAGAGCCGTACAAGGAGCGACCAATACCAGGTGACACAAAATACCACAATTTAGATGAGGATCACCTGGGCACAAGTCCCAGAAACCCTGTTCAACCGTTAGGTTATATTAGGGCCCCGAACTAAAGCAAGGGTGGGGCTTTTGAAAAACGATTGTTTGTTTAAAAAAAAATATGCATCCCATATTGTATTTATATACAAACATGCATGCATGCATACATACATACATACATAGATTCCATAAAGTAAAACCTTGTTAACATAAAATCTCTTTTAATAATAACATTCGGTTTACATGAACACAATTTGGGCCTCAGCAGTTTGGATTATTATTATTATTTTTAGTCACGGATTTTAAAACACGAAATTCCTTTCAAGAAGAATTGACTTTTAGTTTTACTCTGTGTTCGGTTGTAAACACATTTAGAAACGAAACCAGAAACTGACTGCATTGTAAACAGGAAGTTGGCGTGTTGTAGGTGAAGGTAACTAACAATCCAAAATGGATGCGTTGTTTCGAGCGGTGAGGAAGTCACCAAATGTGTCCAAGGACCAAGGAACATCCAAGGCTTCTAGTAAGTTTAAACTGAACCATGATCACTGTTTATATGTGAAGTAAAGATGTTTGTTTAAAACACATGAGAAATTGTATGTCGTCTTATGTATTCCTTCCTCCTTATTAACGGAGACAACGGTTACAATAGTAATAGTTACATAGTCAAATCAAACTCAAACTGTTAAACTTAAACTTTACGGTTTGGTTTGTTTATTATGATATATCCAAATTCCAGTTGCTTTTTTTTTTCTTTAAAAGTTGACGCGCAGTGCATGAACTCCGTTGCACTGGCAAGGATCCCGAAATACTAATTAGGTAGATTTTTAACTCCAAATTTTGCCCGGGCAGCGCTGTTAGGCTACTATTGGCTCTCCTTCGATCTTCGTCCTCATATTATGGCGGCCAAACAAATACCCTAACAAGGCCTCAGTCCTGTGCAAAATGTTAAGTTCCTGCCAAGGAACAAAATTACAAATCGTGGCAAAACTAGGATCGATCCCAAATAACGAAAACATGCTCTAACAGGGTCTCAGCGATGTGTTTCTGTTACTATGTCGCACCACGGACAGTATACCTCGCGCCGCTACACAGTGCGCGGATGGGGGGCTAAACTAGATGACTGGAACTCATGAGCAGCAGCTACCGCATCTCCTGCAACTTCCTCCAATTTATTCGTTGAGTCCCAGGCATCTAGTTTAGATCCTTATCCGGGCATAGCGGCACGGAGGATATGCTCGGCGGTGAGTTTAAATCGGATGACACTATCGCTAATCTGCTTCGGAGCACGTGGTCCCCCTGCCATGTCGCTATTATTGTCTTTAATGATGTGTGTCTCGAAATTGTCAGTGGTCACTAGTATTGTCTGCAGAAACGCTTGAATTTGTCAACGGTCCCTATTATTGTCTGCAGTATTGCCTGTTGTGAAATTGTCAAGTAATCCTAGCTTTGCTGCAATGTGTTCTTCGGAGGAAGTCCACATTTTACACACGACTGAGGCCCTGTTAGGGTATTTGTTTGGCCGCCATAATATGGGGACAAAGATCGAAGGAGAGCCTTACTATTTTTAAAATATTTAATTGCCAAAGTATTAGTATTTTTTTTACGGACACAACAATACACATGGTCTTACTACCAAGAGACCAGAGAAAATTACTAGAAGTCTACATGAAAAAATCACAGCCCTCACCGGGGCTTGAACCCGTGACCTCCAGCACTCGAGGCAGATGCCATACCCCAAGACCACTCAGATCGCCCCTCCGCCCCTAAAGTTAACATTACTGTAAGAGTCGAGCCCAGGGGATGTAATCCATTTTTGTATTTTGTTCTTAATCTCTTTCACTTTGTACCTCAGCAAAGTGTTGGGTGGAGATTTAATGTTCGTTGATGAACTCTGTCAAGAGCTCTATTAAGACTGATGTTCATTTCTGTAGGGCTGTGCTTAATGCCATCACTCCATTTTTTTTCAAGGTCTTCCACTTGCTCTATACCTGTTGTTATGATTTAGTGTTGCTCTCTGTGGCAGATAGTACCAGGGCATTCTTGTTAGGTGTCCAAAACCCACTTCATTTGTTGTTCTTTGATGACCTGTAAGACTGGCTTTATTCCTAGCATTCGTCTGATTTGGTATTGTCTTTCCTTGAAACTCCTGCAGCTTTTCTAAGGCATTTCATCTCTGTTGTCACAATTTTACATTTATTAGAGGGTGTAAGTGTTCATGCTTGGAACTGATTGCAAAGTTGGCCAAAAAAATAGTTCTGATAAAATTCACTTTAGTTCGTTCGTTCACGTTCACCAGCTGTAAACTCTGGCGGAAGGTTCTGGTTGCTCGTCCACTACTGAACTGCAGTCCTGCTCCAGTACTCCGGGGTATTTGCTTGTGTCTCAACAGGGAAGATAGTTGCCCCATTACATGATTAGCTTTGGCACATCTTGAGCTAATTTCTCTGTCCAGTTTTCCATCGGATGTGAAAATTGCTCCTAGATGCTTGAATTCTTCTGTTTGTCTTAAGGCATTGGTGTTCAATTTTATTTTTAAATTGTCTTTCTCTCTTTCTATCGCCGTTGTCTCTGTCTTCATGGTGTTTTATTCTCATAGTATATTCCTCCCCTTTGTTGTTAATTTGATTTAGGTGGTTCTGTAGGCATTCCGTACTTTCTGCTATGAGTACCTAGTCGTCGGCGAAAAGTAATTCTGTAATATCTTTTTCCAATTTAAGTTTGTTTCCTTAAATATAGTATCCATGTGATAATAGTACACAGCCCTGCTGAACACTAGCGTTCACTATAAACGTTTTTGACAGTCCTGCCTTCGATATTATGCAGCATTTACTATGTGTGTACAGGCTTTTGCAAATATTATTGAGATGATTGCTGATTCCCTTTTTCCTAATAATTTCCACAACATATTCCTGTCGACTCTGTCAAAGGTCTATGAATGTCGGCAAACAGGTCTTATCCTGTTCTGGTGCTCTCTCTCTAATAGTTGTCTCAATGTATAATTGTTTGTGTAAATTCATATAGTACTAATATTCGTTCATATTTAATATTGTTTCAGATTAGAGTTAGAGCTATTCAAAACCCTAACCCTAATCTAAAAAAAATATTAAATATGAATTAATATTATCATTAATAGAACGAGCTTAGAAAGATTTGGAGGACATGGGGAGAGCTCCATGCAATAGCGAATTATAGAACGACTTGGCGTGAGTGAGTTGGTTGAGGGCCTATGCTCCATTGGGGGGATAGAAAGCAGAAGAAGAAGAAAAGAAGATTATCATTACGTGAGCATGCACAAACAATGTCTCCCTTACGGTCGCGTAAACAGCCATTGATTGAGCTCTAGGAGGGTCACTGTTAGGTTTGCCCAAAATTTAATTCGTTCTTTGGCTGAGTTCGCGAGCCGAAATGTTCTTGATCCTAAACAATTATTCTATAGAATAAAATATAAATTATAACGTTAACTTTGTGGTTGATAGTTGTTAACACAGGCAGATGGTGGAGGAGGAGAGGGAAGATTACTTCTATGAAGGAGAGTTCCATTCCATTATAATACGAGAGCATGATCTCATGTTACTGCACAAGACCAGATTCATGAAGAAACAAACATACTATATTTTCAAAGGGTTAAGAATTAGAGGTCAGCTCCAAGAAAGAGCAGTGGTGTGCACACTAGACCTCACTTGTGAAAGTAGACTAGACAGCTAATCCACTACCCAGAGTTCAAAGGTAACTGCTTCATCACCTTCTACCATACTGTCCTCTCCTTCTCCTGTGCCTTGTAGATATGTTGCTGCACCGGATTGTAGCACGGACATGCAGACTTGGCTAGGGGATAATCACAGATTTCTGAGACAGTTGTGGGACCTGAAAGGAGCATGGGGAAATATATGCTGCTTTTGAGGCTGAGATAGGAGACATTAGCAGCAACTCCTCACGGGAACAGTCAGACCTTGGAGTGGCTGCTCTGCTGCTGCATCTGAGGACTGAGCACATATTGGGATTATCCAGTTTGCGGTGGATTGTGATAACATCAAAGGGAACTTGAGTAGGGTACCATCAAGTGCTTCTTCTAAACATAACTTTCAAAAATATTGACTCCGTCTTAGTTGGAACCGGCTGTACTGCTAAACATCTGAGACTACTTTCTCAGTGCAGGTGTACTGATTAGATTACCAAAGCACTTCGTTTTCTATTGTTGTGATAGCAGCTTGAAAATGATTGATTAAGATACAATACTAACGAAAGTGGGCTGCCAGGTTCACTGAAAATAAAAGGGGTAATAAGAAGTTACCTTGAACATAAATGCTATTTTTTTTTCTGGGGGCACGTTGAACCAGCATTTGTTTTTTAATGTGGTGCAATGCTACTGTATTATAGTCGGTGTCTGTGGCTTAGGCGCTGCAAATGCATTTCGTAGTGCCAGGTTTGATCCCAGTTCTGGGCAATTTGCCTTGCCTTGGTTTTGACACTGGTACCAGGCAACATTTCTGGAATCAATGGCAAACTACTGAACGTGAAAATTTGCCTAGAAAAACCACAACTGCCAAAAAATGCTAAAGTCGGTTCTGCAATGTCCTGTGAGGGATTGCAACTAGCTAACTATAATATAATGTTTGTGGGGAGTACCAATAACATTTTTTGGAGAAGACATTTTTGTGGTGAGTACTGGCACTTTTTTTCTAGGGAAAAAAAGCCCTGGCCACATTATTCACTTATCTACTGCTGATTAATCAAAGAATAACCAGCTGTTATCATACACCTAAAAACATCTCTGGACATGAAAAGAAATTGTGTGTGTTTTACTTACTGTACATATTGTTCAGCTGAAATGTATTTGTTGTGATGGTACTTTTCTAGAAATCCCTGAAGGATGGGGTGAAAATAAGGAACCAGTGATTGATGGCGTTACTTTCTACCTCAAGTACATTGGCTCTACACTGATTGAAGAGAAAGATATCAACCAGACATATGGAGATGGCACCAGTACTAAAGCTATACAGAATATTATCACTATGGTAAAATGAAAGTTAGCTTTGACTGTATATCATGATTTAATCCTTTTTTAAAAATGTGTATGTGTGCAGATATTATGTTTCTGTCACTTCAGGCATAGTACAGTTTATAATTCTTCTACCTTAGACTAAGTGTTGTGGGGAGAAAGAATCCCCCCCTCCCCCCTCCCTCTGATCAATAAGTTAAAGTGTATTAACAATTAACTCTTACAGTCCCATGGAATGCATCATAAATTCGTAGGTTCATGCCTAGAAGCCTATGAACCCAAGATAGCTGATTTTTTGTTTCCCTTTACTACCCCTTGATGCTAAATTCCTGGGACTAAAATAGTTAAAAACTTAAAACCCATAAAGGAAATATGACATGCCTAGGTCTGATCTGAAATGCGACCAGGTTGCATCCTAATGTACCTCTCTGCAGACCTGAAGTTTTAATAATGGGCACTCACACCCTGCTGTTTTCTAAGCTAGAAGAGGTATAAAAAAAGGCTTGCAGCACAATTTCTATGAAGCTGATACTTTGCTAATGGAAGCAGGAGGAAATCTCTTCACCCTTCCAGAGCTTAAATTAGTGCCAGTCCAACAGCTTGAAAGTTTGAACTCACTGTTCTAGACAGCCACAATTATTTTCACCCCACCCAGATGTTTTTAAAGAGGCTTGTGCTTGAAGACAGCTTATAACAAAATCATTTTTTCGGTTATGTTTTGAGGAGAAAGAAACTGGAACATGTTGTGACCACTGGAAAGATCTGTGGAAAAAGAGATAGAGGACAACACAAAAAGATTCTGTACAGCCTTTTGCCATGGCATCGAGGGATGTCAGCATATCGCTGATACATACTGTTGAGAATCACAGGTTCTGGAGGAGCATGAAGCGTCTACACCTGACAGCAAGGCACTTGATAAATAGTGGTGGGATTAGTTTTAATTAACATGAGGAGGGGGTAGCAGTTAGTTGTAGTAGTTTATAATTATCATGTTAGTAATTGTGATATTATCGTAATGTTGGATTAGCGATGGCAGTAGTATAATTAGTTTTAGTTATAAAAAGAGACCAGTGGTTGCCCTGGACAGAGAGAACACTACACAAATATGGCTGCTTCGTGTCCTATGAAACTGTCCGAGAAATTAACCCAGTTAACAAATTTTCGATAAAGTTGGGTGTGATGGCCGAAAGGCGCAAATATTGCAGCTGTGCTGTAAACAGGCACCATGCAGTGACATCATTTGGGTGAACAGAAAGAAGTATTTTGGGGTGAATATAATAAAGAGGTGACAGCCGCAGTGTTGCAGTAGCTAGACACTCGCCTGAAGGTCTTTGGTGTGAATCCTCACCAGGTAGATTTGGAAACAAATTGACCTAGGCTGCCAGTTTGACCCAGCCTAAAGATGGCCACCAGGAAATGTCATGGGAAGGAAAGGTGGCCAGTGTGATGTTGACGCGTTACCCATCATGTCAGCTGGTCAGTAAAATGTTAGTCTAACATTATATGCCCGATTCACAATTAGAATGAAACCAATCCTTTACTGATCTACTTACTTTTCAAATAGAGAAGTACTGTATTTTGCCTTGTATAAGACGCCACATATTTTTGTAGCCCAAAATTAAGATAGAAATATTTTAATCACATTTTCTGTGAAAGATTACCCCCAGTTTTGAACTTGAAAAATTTTGTAAAACATCTTATACATTGGAAAATGTGGTAAGTTACAACTGGAGAAACATGCAGATTATTCTGTTTAAATTGAGAAATAAATATTTTAATCACATTCCTTGTGTAAGACGATCCTCAGTTTAAAACTTGAAAAAAATTGGTCAAGCATATCATCCTTTACATGGGGAAAATATGGTAAGTTTTACATGAAGAAACGTGCAGATTAAATTTAGAAGATTAGGAAATAAATATTTTAAATCACGTTCCTTGTATAAGACAATTCTCAGTTTTAAATTTGATTGATTTGGTAAAACATATAATCTTATACACGAGATAATACAATAAGTTACAGCTAATTAACTGTGCAGATTAAACTTGTCAGCCATGTCACTAGTTTTCTTTTTCTCCTTTATTGTTCAATAAAAACAGGCAAAGACTGCAGGCACAAAACTTTGAGTCACACCCAAAACAGTACAGTAGATTGACAGTAACACCGAAAGGCATTCGAAGTTTAGTTTGTTAGAGAGTAGTAAGATATGGCAAGTTTAGTTTGTTAGAGAGATCAGTTAGTTTATTAGAGAGATCCTCTCAAGTTTGTTAGAGAGACAGTAAGAAGTTTAGTTTGTAGAGAGAAGTTTAGTTTAGAGAGATTAGTTTAGTTTGTTAGAGAGATCAGTAAGAAGTTTAGTTTGTTAGAGAGATCAGTAAGAAGTTTAGTTTGTTAGAGAGATCAGTAAGAAGTTTAGTTTGTTAGAGAGATCAGTAAGAAGTTTAGTTTGTTAGAGAGATCAGTAAGAAGTTCCATCTGTTAGAAAAAGTAGGTAAGAAGTTTAATCTTTTCTATACGAATATCCCCCCTACAAAAAAACAGTTGAATATTTTAGGGGGTGGTAGATAGGCTGCATACAGTCGTGGGACCTAGGCTGCACTCTCTTGTGGGACAGGTGGGTTGGGGTTAGCCCAGTTCTAGATGTTTTGGGGAAGTTAAAAGCATCAGAAAGCTGAGAAATCCGCTCTTACGTTTAATCTGTTAGATAGGTTGGAAGTTTAATCTGTTTAAGAGATTTAAAAGTTTAATCTGTTAGAGATATTAGTTCAATCTGTTAGAGAGATTAGAAGGTCAGTAAGAAGTTTAATCTGTTAGAGAGGTCAGTAAGAAGTTTAATCTGTTAGAGAGGTCAGTAAGAAGTTTAATCTGTTAGAGAGGTCAATAAGAAGTTTAATCTGTTAGAGAGGTCAGTAAGAAGTTTAATCTGTTAGAGAGGTCAGTAAGAGGTTTAATCTGTTAGAGAGGTCAGTAAGAAGATGGACATGTAGTATATGGTGTTGTACCCATATTTTCATAGAGCAGTCAGCAGTAAATGGTTGTTGTCAACATGAAAGTGATTGCCTTTACTTCCCAGGAAATTTCTTGGCACCCATTTTAAGCTGGCTTTACCTAGTAGCCTAGGACACCCCCCAAATTTCCCCTTTATGTTGGATATGAACATTAACCTTCCGGGGGGGGGGGGGGGCCGGGGGGGGGGGGGGGGGGGGGGGGGAGGACAGCACCAAAGACCCGCTCTTTGTTTTTGAATTTTGGGTTCCCCCAAAATATTCATTTAAAAAAAGAACCATTTTAAACAGTCACACACACACACAATGCTGAAAATTCTATTTATGAATCAAAACAGAACTAAATATCATTCAGAATAATGGGAGTAATCAAGACAGAGGAATAAAGCAGAGAGTGGACTGGGTTACATCTCTCAGAGCTTTAAAAAAATGTTTAGCCTGATCTGTTCTTGACCTTGTGATATAGACACTAGTTACCACTGTAACTAGTGGAAAATTCTTATCTTCTGTCCTAATTACTATGAATAAAGCCATTTTCCAATAAAGAATCCCACCTGTATATTTAACAACTATGTTCATTACCAGTCGTTCCAAAAAGTTGCCCAGGAAAAAAGAGAAGCAGTGCTGTTAGCAGGGCACCTCATAAAGCCTCTGTAGCAAGTCAGGAAATGGACATTTAAGGGTTGTGGCCTTAACAGGAAGTGGCCAGGTTTTCTGCTTCTTGATGTGAGAGGATTAAAGTACCTCAGCCTTCATTCTACGAAGTAGAGGACATGCTTAATAAATAATTTAATCAACATAACTGAGACTACTATGTTTAAAATGATTGTGGCTACATGAAAAACCTTAATGAACAAGTACCTAATTTGTTGGTGTTATTTTGTTCTTCAGAATATCATTTTGTACAGCCGACAATCACTACAACCATATATTTGCCTATATTGCAAGAAACACAACTAACGAAACTATGGAATGCCATGCATTTTTGTGTGCCAAGAGAAAAATCGTAAGTATAAGTGAATCACACAAAAGCAGCATATTTGATTATGTTATGACATTCCAACTATTTTTAGTGTGTGTTGGAATTTTAAAAAAAGTACATTTCACTTGGCGAAGTAGTTAGCAGCCAAATATATCATCATCATTGTCGTATTGCACCATCATATGTCGCATAGGGTACACAGTCTTTTTATCCATTCCGTTCTGTCCTCTGCAGTTACTTTAGTAAGATGGGTGGAATCCTGTCTGGCACATTTGGCTTCTGTCATCGTTGCCCTGGGGTTTCTCTTAGACGTCCTCATTTCCTCAGTCCCTATATTTCTCATTTTAGTGCCTGCTTAAGCAATTCTGTTTTTGTCTTCTCAGATTGTGTCCAATATAGCACCATCTTCTCTGTCTTATAGCTGTTGATACTAGTATTTGACCAGACATTTCTTCTAATTCTTCTCTCCTTTTAAATTCATCCCAAAACAAGTACAGGATAAGATTTATTAAAGAAAGAAAAAAACTGTAATCCCTAAATGGGAATCTGAAATGTTTTCTGTAGAGTAAACTGCATTCTAAGCCCACTGCTACCAAATGTACAGCGTTTTGCCTGGACACTCCCATAAGTGCTCAGTCACCAGTAGCCAGTAAAGAGTTGACATGCTAATAATAAAAGTCTGCTTATGAGAACCCATCAGTCCAGTTGAATGTCTGAAAAAACCTCCGGGGTTGGATTGGTTGTAGGTGTGTAGAACCAGAGTATGTTTAACGCGAATGCGTTTGCATCTGATAACCACATGTATGGGTGTAAAGTGTTTTTATACATATGACACTGAGTAAGGTTGTTTGAATGCTATTGAAATCTGCGTGAGTGTGCTGTGATCCTTATGAATGTGTGCGCATGTGTGTGTGTTGAGGGCGTATGTCCACGTTGGGGTTTCAGGTATGAATTGGTAAGTGAAAAACTGTTTTTATTGTGTTTAAGTCAAGAATATGATGCTACACGCACATATTTGTAGACCACTCTGTGTGTGTGATGTGTGCATTTGGATACATTATTGTGTATATGTGACTGTATGTGTGTCTCTGTGTTTGTCTGCATTGTGTGTGTGTAGGTCAGTGTTTGTCTGTCAGTTATGATAAAAATGTGCATGTCTGTGTGTGTCCAAGACTTTCAGGCCAGCAGACATGTGTATAGCCATTATGCCGCAGTTATGCACAGTTTGAAGTGTGGAATGTGGACACTATATTGACATGGCTGTATATCAAGATGTAACATCAATCTGAGAGTGTGTGTACAACCAGGATGAGTGACACAGAGTGTTGGGTATCTGTTGCAGCAAATCTTCACCATGGAGTGCCTTTTTGACTGACCGATTGTACATTCTGTTGCTTAGGTTTAGACGACGAATCAACATCATGGCATTGTGTGTAACCCCTTTGTACTCCGTATACTTCTGCATGTCTGAGTCCGATGAATGTCAGTGCACCGTAATATATGTGTTTGGATCCTGTAATTTTGGGTAGATTTTTAACTCAAAATTTTGCCCAGGTAGCGCTGTTAGGCTACTCTTTTTTGATTTCCAGCTGCCAATGGATATTTTTATGTGTGCAGCAATACACACGGGTGTCTGATCTTACTACCCAGAGACCAGGTGAAAAAATGCCAGTCTTCACAGAGGCTTGAACCCGGGACCTCCAGCACTCGAGGCAGATGCCATGCCTCGAGAAAACGCAGCTCTCTTCTGTTGCTTGTATCTGTTTGCTAATTTTTACAGACGCCAATAATTAATTTCAGTTTTCTGAGTTACTTATTCTAAATTCTTTTGTAAAATTACTCTAATAGTTTACGTGTGTTTATGTGTGTGTCATCCATGCAGATTGTATAATATGACTGTATGTTTGTATCTAGTGTATGTGATGTGTGTATGTCATGTATTCCTCACATGATTTATGTGTCTGCATATTGTATGTATGCAGTGTCACCCATGTTTGTATGCCTACATATTTGTGATGTAATCTGTGAGTGGGTACTGACCACTACATCCACTAAAAGGTCAGAACAAATACAAAGAGAACTTAGGAACAGTCAGTTTTATATTAAAGCAGTCAAAAATTAGAGTGCATATGGATGAATTAAGAATTGACAACCCTGCATTCGGGACAATAATACACATATCTCATATTCTCAGTAGCCAATAAACATGCTTTATTAGTAAAATCACAACTGCTGTCGAAGGACTCCCATAAGTGGAAGTCACCGTAGCCAGTAAGACGAAATGCGTAATAAAATCTGCCTACCCTTTGAAAATCAGTGTTGAATGTCTTCGTTCGTTCTACCCACTTCCCACAAATTTACCTTTTTTTTAAGTGTTATTATGGATTGTGTCTGTTCTGTTGCACTATCCGTAAGTTCTAGAGTGTTTAACAATCAGAAAGACATTGGACTATGCTGGGGAAATGTAAACTGAACGACATTGAAACTATTTTTAATGAAATAAATAATGTAACTTGATATATTTGTTGACACTCTAGGCTCAGGCAGTCACTCTAACTGTCTCACAAGCCTTCTCCATTGCACAAGAGAGATGGTTAGAAGGCAAGCGCCTGAGGAAATCATTACGAGAAAAAGCAGTCATGGAAAAGGTAATTCATTTGATTAATCATGGATGGAAGTTCGGCTAAATCTGGCTTGGCAGCTATTCTTTGTCGAAACCTATCCTTTATAGCTGTTTGAGAGATGTTTAGAGTGAGTTGATGACTGTAGCAGCTTTTTTATTCCAGTTTCATTGGTTAAACTAATATCATACATTGTGCAGACGCTTACAGTTAAAATATATATCTGACACTGTGCCAAAGACCTAAAAGCTAAATCCTTATTTTGAAGAAATTGTGTTTGAACATTAAGATCTCTGAAAAACTGTAGTTGTGTCAAATGTCAACTTCATTTTGAGTTCACATGTCTTCTTTTGGCATATTGTAAAGTAACAAATAACAGCTGTGAAAATTGACAAAAGGACACTTAGTGACTTTTACATCAGGCTGATCATGTTTGCTCATCTTAATGTTAGAGATTTAATTTGTGATCTTTTGTTATTGTTCTGAGCACCCTTCTTTATTCTGAGCATCCTTCTCAGCTATTTCATTGTTGTTACTGTTTGTTCTTTTGTGTTTGTTTATTTTATTTCCTTCTGTTTGGTAAACGTAATCTTGCTTTTTAACAAGTAAAACAAAGTAACAACACTTCCTCTTTTGTCACTGTCACAAGTATTGTTGTAAGGGTTGACTTAATTAGTTTTCTCTGAAGTCAGAATTCATGTGCCTGAGAGACAGAGAATCAACAGTCTGCATTCAGATAAGCCAGATGTGTAAAACAGATGTGCACACAAAACTGAAGTTCTGGAACAAGGCTGAAGTTCATAAGTGGATGAACAACCAGAACTTTGAGCCGCAGTTTACAGCCGGTGAGCGTAAAGAAGAAGAAAAAGTACTTCTTTCCGTCCATCAAGTTTGGCACTGGTAATTGTGGCTGATCACAGCCTTCTGTCTCATGTACTGTCAGTCATTTCCTATACAGATCTTCTTCTATGGCTTGATGCCAGACTGTTCAATATTTTGTCTCTTGGTTTCCATTAAACTTTCTGAACCTCCAGCTTTCTCATTGTAACAAGGCTTAATCCAGTTTTTCCTTCTCATAATGTGCCAAGAGAATGAAGATTACTTATTCTGATGCAGGTAACCGATGAGTTTTAACAAAATCTTTCAAGATGACTATTTAAAAAAAAAAAAACATGAGTCCATGGTTTCCATACCTTTTCTATGAAACCACGTCTGCAGCTTGAAATATTAATTAAGCAGATAAAATTTGGATGACTTCAAGAAGAGTGAGGAAATAAGAGAAATGTCTGGGCAACTTCTGGTAAAAACAGTTATAAGACAGAGAGGATGGTGCTATATTGGACGCATCCTGATTCAAAATAGAAGGGAGTCTAGAATCAACATCAGACACTAAATTGGGGGGGGGGGGGGGGGCACTGAGGAAGCGAAGACGTTAAAAATAAACCCTAAAATAAACGTTGATGAGCGAGGCCAAAGGGGAGGAACTGGATTCCATCGCTGATTTTGAGTAGATTGCACAGTATAAAACTGAACGAAGGAATAGGCTGCATGCGCTCTGTGACGTATAATGACACAAGAGGATGTCAATGATGATATGTAAACATGATTTTGTAATTACTCCCCACACAAAAATTAGGTACATAATGAATAATTTCATGTAAATGTTTTTTTCTATGAACCTGTCTGTGTTGACTACAGGTAGCAGTTAGCAGTGAAAGAAGTCGGTCACATTTTGAAAGCAGCAACAATGGCAAAAACAGTGTTGGTAGTACTGCCCATCAAGAGACAGGGTCACAAGAAATCTTTTTATTGAACTCAGGTTTGTGAATGTTAAATGACCAAATACATATACGTGGGTGAGTCAGAAATGATCTTCACTCCAGATATATTAAAACTTCTGTTGGGTCACAGTTTTCTTCTAATTTTAGTCCATGCCAGGTAGTATTGATAGTCGTGTCTATCCACACCTTCTTTCTCATGTACTTTCAGTTATTTGTGACATAAATCTCTTTCCCTCATCCAGCTTTCTAGCTGTCACAGTGTACTGCAGTTTTCTGTTTCTTATGCCATGATCAAATCATGTAGATTGTCTGCTTGTAATGTAGGCAATCAGTTCTCTTGGTAGTTACAGGTCTTGACAGCTGCAAAATTGATGCTTACATTTTGCAATGATTTTAAAGGACCAGTACTGGGGTACTATCAGATAAAAGATTCAGCAGTGGGCGGTGCCCATTACAGTGAGAAGCTCACCAGAGGGCTGATGTCTAGGATTCAGATTAAATGCAAAGGACTGCTATCTAAGGGCATTGTGATCTTGTATGACAGTGCACTTCCTCAAACTTCTGCCTAACATGTCGATATTGGAAATCATTTAGATGTGTTAAAACATGTCCCTAATCCTCATCTTGCTCCATCAGGTTTACAATATTACCAGGTCAGCATCAAACATGACAAAAGGTGGGCTATGATTTAATATCTTTATGTTACTGCCCTTGTCGCTCACAGCTTTTTTCTGGTCAGCATTTATTTCTGATGGCCCAACACGGGTCAGATGTTCTACTAGCCAGGCAGAAATGTGATTTCTATTAGAGATGTGTCAGTTTAGTGATTTTGTATGTTCTTATTCGTACTTGTGGTATTGTAGATTATGTAATGTGCTGATCAAGGCTTTCTAGCTGCAGCATTCACTTGTCGTTTGTGTTAGTGATATTGTCGAGCTGACACGGTTCTATTTTTTATTTGCTTTGATCATTTCTTGCTGTGATCGTGATCAGACCCAGTGAGGATTTCCAGAATTTATTCAGCCTAAAATGGGTATGGTGACATTTTCTAGTAAGTAATAGTGGCAGCCTTATCAGCCATTGATTGTTGATTGGTGTGTAACAAATATTAGGCTCTACCATATATATGAAATACCACAAGGTGTTGGAATGATGGCTTTATATTTCTTACTGTATGAATTATTTCTGTGTTGGGTTTATTTATTGTATCGCTTTCTCTGTTTAGTGTATGGTTTTACTTATTAATCATAATGAAAGTTATGTGTCGGCACCTCTGGCTTGGGTGTTGTAAACGCACTTCGTAATTCTGCGGTGCTGGGTTCGATCCAGGTAGCAGACGATTTGGCTGCAGACTGCCTTGCATTGGTTTCAGCAGTTATGTCAAGTGTCGTCGGTTCAGAAAGCAGTGGCAAACTACTGAACTTATAATTGCCTGGTTAAATCACTGACAGCCCACACAAAGCAAAGATTACGAGTTGGTTTAGCAATATTCTGCCAAGGCAGCAACATTCTGTCAAGGTAGCAACATTCTGTCAAGGCACATTCTGTCATGCAGCAACATTCTGTCAAGGCAGCAACATTCTCCCAAGGCTACATAACCATGTTACATTTCTTTTTCGTTTTGAATTTGAAAATTATGGTGTTCAGTTTATTTATTGTAACTCCAAATTCTGCTTTTAATTTTTAGTAAAGCACCTTTTATTGTCACATTTTTTTTTTGGTTCTTGCTTTCAGGGTCATCTCAACAACAAGAGGTTCATCACTCGGATTTAAGGAAGAATTGGGTGAGTTTTATGTCCTTTACTTAGCTATATATTTAGGGAAGGGACTAGGGAGTGGGGGTGCGTGTCTACCAGGAAGGCATAGAAAAGTAACGCAGCCTGAGACAACTCAGATTTTGTCATTGCAGATGTTGTGATTTGCTGCCTCAGGTTCCTGAATAGGTTCCAGGGTCCCTGGAAATTATTGAGACTAAGCGCACAGCCCTGCAACCCAGAGCAGTCCAAGATTTATGAATGAAAGGGTGCGCCGGTGCGTAACCTACTTTCAGCGTCACGACAAGCGTGAACAGATCCAAAAAAGAAAAGAAAAAAGAAGAAACTGCGTCAAGTATTTTGTGGAAATAACCTTTTCGGCCACTGAAATAAAACAATCTTTCAGTAGACCTACAAGAGGACAGTTGGTGCTAGGGGGGGGGGGGGGGGGGTGATTTGAAGTTGAACTTGAATCCCAGGTGTACCAGGGCTTATAGGTACTGAGAGGTAAAGTTGCAGGCATAATCTTGACTAAATCAAATTTAATTATCTGCTCATTTCGTGTTGATTGGCTACTCCCCTTAATTTTTGATCCAAGAAGAAAAATTGGATGTGTATTTAAAAAAAAGAATTTTCTGTGTGAAAGTTTGTGACGTTTTTTTTTCTGTTTTGTATAAAAGGGTTAAAGCAAAAAGCTGAGGAAATAAATTTATTTTTGGACTTTGGATTATGCCATGACAACAAGAAAGTTGAAAGAAAGAAGAAAGATGTTAGACTGTTTGGCATCTTGCCATGGAAAAACATCTGTATCAGAAATGATTGACAGTACATAAGACAGAAGACACACCTGTTTACCAACACCACACAGGATATAGTGGAGTAAAGCACCTGTTCCCATACCTTCAGGTGTATTGGGCATATAGGGCTAGACCTTTATTTTATAGACCAGTCAGCACTCAGTGGGTGATGTCGTCAACATCATACTGGCCGCCTTTGCTCCCCAGGAGTTTACTCGTTACCCATTTAAACCCGGGTCACCCTGGCAGCCAAGGTAATTATTTTTTTAAATTATCCGGCTCTGTCGGGACTAAAACCCACAACCTTTGGATCTGCAGGTGAGCGTACCGCTGCTACACCCAGTGGCTCCACACAGCGTAAAGAAAGATTAAATGACTGAACATGATTCAATAATAATTGTTGTAAAAAAAAATATTCCTAGTTTTTGTCTATATTCTAAAACAGTTTCTTCCAATATTTATGCAGGAGAGCTTTGAGGATTCAGACAGTGAGAACATAGATGATATGTTTTCAAGGTAATTGTGTAGTTTGTTTCATTATTCCAACAAGTAGTGTTTGTTGCTCTACTTCTCCTTTTCTCTGTTATTATGTAGACTCCTTGCTTTTAATTTACCAAATGAGAGGAGTCTTTATGCATGTATTTATTGTCCTCAAGATCTGATTGTTTAAAGAATAGTTGCTGGCAGGGAAAGAAACGAATTAAAAAAACAAATATAAACCAAAAGGCTTTTGTCTTGTTGATGTTCTGGAAAAACACAGAGACCAATGAATGCAGCTGAAGCAAAATTACTTCAGTAAATTTAAATCAGTCGGTCAAGATGCCTTGACATTTGAAGCAGTAAAATAAAAGGCTAAAAAGAAGAAGTGTCATCTCTACATTGAAGGTGGGCTGTAATGACCCTATGTCTTGTGACTGCGTCATGTGTGATAAAACAGTACGACGTATCATTCAATGATGTTACAAATACAATTTTTGTTGTTGCAAGAATAATTTCTTCTTCTTCGCGTTCACCAGCTGTAAACTCTGGGGGAAGAGTTCTGGTTGTTGGTGCACTTCTGGACTGCAGTTCTGTTGCATAAACTGAGTGTTGCCTGTGCATCTGTTTTACAGATCTGTTGGTTCATTGCCTCTCAGGCAGATGCACTCTAACTTCGAAGGAAGATACCAGTTAGTCGGCTCTTACGACATGCTTGTGGGTAGGCAGTGGGTTTAATCTTGTTTTCCCTGTAATAGGCCCCGTAACCCTCACAGGGAAAGATTAATTTATACAGGATGTTTGGAAACAAACTTCACTCCTACTGTCTACAAGTTCAAAAAGTGACTAAAGGCCTACTGTAAATAAATGAAATTAATGAAATTCATCACCAGCAAATGATAAAGTATATGTAACACTAGGGACAGTTGAGTTGAGTCAGCAGTTGACATTACATACACCACTCGGGGCATTCCCATGCATGCTCCTTCCTCATCTTCAGCAGCCAGCGCATGGTTCCAATACTGATGATACCGGTCACTAGGGACAAAAGCAATTAAAGTAACAGATCCTTTTAGTCATTTTTATAGTGAAGGAAATACAAAGAAAGAAATAACGACACACACTAGCAAATCATCAGCAGCTTTTAATAGCTTGAACAAAATATGAAACTCTAAATTGTAAAGTTTTAAAATAAAGTTACCGATTTTCAATTCTAATATTATTTCAGTTTTAACATATGCAAATGAAAGCTGGAGAACCACTAAAGACATGGAACAAAAGTTAAATGCATTTGAAAACAAATGTCTGAGGAAAATGGGATGAATTGGTAAGGAGTGAAGAAATAAGAGAAGTGTCTGGGCAAACACTAGAATCAGCACTTATAAGACAGAGAAGATGGTGCCACATAGGACGCATCCTGAAAAGAAACCATCAGAGAATCACCAAACCGGCATTTAAGTGGAAAATAAGGGGATGGATGATGCGAGGATACCCAAATGAAACCCTGAGATGGATGTTGATGAGAGAGACCAAAGCTGCTGGACTGCATTCCATCCATGATATTGAACTGATTGCCCATGGTAGAACGGAATGGAGGAACTGAGTGAGAGCCCTGTGTGACATATAATGGCACCATAGGATAATGATAGATGAAATGGGACATTTTGTAAATCTTTTGTTACTGTTAAGTGACACAGATACTGTATGTAAAGTTGAAATAAAAGTTAGCACAGGGTACACTTGTATTTAGGTGATTTTTGAACACTATTTGTTGGCTACTTGCAACTGTTGTATTTTGCCACGAGATTTGCTTTTTAAAGTCCGTGCAATATGGCATGGATCATCATGACGGTCCCCTGCTGTCTTCTGCACTGCAAACCATTGCTGACACAACTGTTCTTCTGAGCCACAATGCCAAACTCTGCACCAAATCTCTCTCTGTCTTCTCCCATCTTACTTTACCTTTTCTTTTGCAATGGCCTATCCCCTTTTCACAATGTACTCAAAAAAAAAAAAGAATATTGTCTTCTGCCATAAAGATTGTCTTCTGCCATGAAGATTGTCTTCTGCCATGAAGATTGTCTTCTCCCATGAAGATTGTCTTCTCCCATGAAGATTGTCTTCTCCCATGAAGATTGTCTTCTCCCATGAAGATTGTCTTCTCCCATGAAGATTGCACTCTCATGATAGGTAGATAAGTTGTATCCCACCAGTACATCACACTAGCGACAAACACCCAGGGACACAAAGCACCACCATGCGAATGAGGATCACCCTGGAAAGGTCCAGGAAACCCCGTTCAGCCGCTAGACCATATTTAAGGCCTGGTTATATTCAGGGCCCCTGGCAGAAGCCGAGGTCTGTCTAAAAAATTACAGTCTTCTCCCATGAAGATTGTCTTCTGCCATGAAGATTGTCTTCTCCATGAAGATTGCCTTTTCCCATGAAGATTGTCTTCTCCCATGAAGATTGTCTTCTCCCATGAAGATTGCATTCTTCCATGTAGCTTGTCTTCTTCCATGAAGATTGTCTTCTCCCATGAAGATTGCATTCTTCCATGTAGCTTGTCTTCTTCCATGAAGATTGTCTTCTCCCTTGAAGATTGCATTCTTCCATGTAGCTTGTCTTCTTCCATGAAGATTGTCTTCTTCCATGAAGATTGTCTTCTTCCATGTAGCTTGTCTTCTCCCATGAGGATTGTCCTTCTGCCATGAAGATTGCATTCTCCCATGAAGATTGTCTTCTCCCATGAAGATTGTCTTCTCCCATGAAGATTGTCTTCTTCCATGTAGCTTGTCTTCTTCCATGAAGATTGTCTTCTTCCATGAAGATTGTCTTCTTCCATGAAGATTGTCTTCTTCCATGTAGCTTGTCTTCTTCCATGAAGATTGTCTTCTTCCATGTAGCTTGTCTTCTTCCATGAAGATTGTCTTCTCCCATGAAGATTGTCTTCTTCCATGAAGATTGTCTTCTTCCATGAAGATTGTCTTCTTCCATGAAGATTGTCTTCTTCCATGTAGCTTGTCTTCTCCCATGAGGATTGTCCTTCTGCCATGAAGATTGCCTTCTCCCATGAAGATTGTCTTCTCCCATGAAGATTGTCTTCTCCCATGAAGATTGCATTCTTCCATGTAGCTTGTCTTCTTCCATGTATCTTGTCTTCTCCCATGAAGATTGTTTTCTCCCATGAAGATTGTCCTGCTGCCATGAAGATTGCTTTCTCCCATGAAGATTGTCTTCTTCCATGAAGATTGTCTTCCCTCATGCCTTTCGTGAGTAATTTTCTTTGACAAGTAATTTACATGTTCTTTGTGATATTATAAAGTTAAATTCAAGAGGATCGACTTCATCGTGTCAAGTTTTATCACATATGGCTGTGTATTTCTTCGCTGAACGGCTAGCTGCCTGCAGATAGTTTCACACAAAGCACACATTCTGTAGCTCTGGGAACAATCCCCAAGCGTCTCCATAAAAGTTGTACTTGTGAACCGAGCGACGCACATGAAGCAAAATGACTTACCCCTATAATATTATATTATGAGTAACCCTGTTTTTCTAATTTTATAATTTTGCTTGTGCAGTGGCCAGATTTACTCCTGCACTTACAAAAAAATTGTGTATTGTAGTTTAAGAGAAATAAATTTGTTTGCTGGTAGTTCCAGTTGTCATGTTAGTAAGATTTCTGACATCATAATATTTAAACTGTAACAATATTTTTTTTTTTCTGAATAGGCTGGCTGAAAACAGAATAAGAAAGTTCTCCAACTTCGGCACAGATCTGATAGAGGATGAGCTAGATGCTGGTGTTCAGAAATATATGGAAGGATCTGCATGCTTTGAGGCATTTTCTCGAACAAAGTCATCCGAAGATCTGCTCAATTTGTTTTGAATCCTCAGTAACCAGAACCAGACAGTATTCTTCATTCTGTGCCCATGTGGATTAATTCATCTGTCAGCATTTATTTTACTTGTTATTTATAATGTACATGTATACATTCAGTAACACTACTTCTATGACATGATACTTCCTTGGTGCTTGATGTGATTCGGCAACAGGTTAATGTGAATTAAAGAATGTATTGCAGTTAGGCTGATTTAAATTATATAAGATACAATATACAAGTTGAGTCCACTTAAGTTGAACTCGGATAAGTTGAATTTCAGTTAAGTCGACATGACCAGCTTAGTCCCGGCAATTTTCTCTATTGTGTGCGCTGTCTAGATGAGTAGAAATCCTGGTCAGTGGAAACATTTTCTTCGGTCCCTGCCACTTCTACTTATCCAGACTCGACTGTACTACTTAAACAGTAGCTACTGAAAGGAACATAATTGTGTCATCATTTTGACAGTTACAAATCTTTGTAATTTACTGAGTAAAACTGTTCAAATTACACAGAAGAATACCTTAGAGTTCAGCCAATCAGTTGACAGTTCTTTTGCATCTAAATCTTTGATAATTTTAAGACATATGGGTTTTCTCAACAGTTAATAAAAATGCGCCATCAGATAACTACATGATTTAAATTTTAGTAGAAGAAGGAATAAAGTATGTTAAATTTGAATAGAATATTTAAATTGCAAGAGAATGTGGAGTAATTTATATTGCTATCACTTTGATGTAGCAGTACTGTGATCTATGCAAAACTATTGACAGTTTCTAGTAAACTCTTTTCGTGCAAGATCTTCCAATAATAACAGTTTATTTGCTCTTTTTATTTTCTTTGCTAACTATGACTAGTTAGTCTTTTATCATTGTGCTACTGTGACCAGTTAGTCTTTTATCATTGTGCTACTGTGACAAGTTAGTCTGTTATCATTGTGCTGCTGTGACAAGTTAGTCTTTTATCATTGTGCTGCTGTGTCAAGTTAGCTTACACTGAGTGTTTGATGCTTCTATCCTAGTACTGCTGTGACCAGTTAGTTCTTTTATCATTGTGCTACTGTGACAAGTTAGCTTACACTGAGTGTTTGATGCTTCTATCATAGTACTGCTGTGACTAGTTAGTCTTTTATCGTTGTGCTACTGTGACAAGTTAGCTTACACTGAGTGTTTGATGCTTCTATCCTAGTACTGCTGTGACCAGTTAGTTCTTTTATCATTGTGCTACTGTGACAAGTTAACTTACACTGAGTGTTGAATGCTTCTATCCTAGTACTGCTGTGACCAGCTAGTTCTTTTATCATTGTGCTACTGTGACAAGTTAGTCTTTTATCATTGTGCTACTGTGACAAGTTAGTCTTTTATCATTGTACTACTGTTACAAGTTAGTCTTTTATCATTGTGCGACTGTGACAAGTTAGTCTTTTATCATTGTACTACTGTTACAAGTTAGTCTTTTATCATTGTGCTGCTGTGTCAAGCTAGCTCACACTGAGTGTTTGATGCTTCTATCCTAGTACTGCTGTGACCAGTTAGTCTTTTATCATTGTGCTACTGTGACAAGTTAACTTACACTGAGTGTTGGATACTTATATCATAGTACTGCTGTGACCAGTTAGTCTTTTATCATTGTGCTACTGTGACAAGTTAACTTACACTGAGTGTTGGATACTTATATCATAGTACTGCTGTGACCATATCATTGTGCTACTGTGACAAGTTAGCTTACACTGAGTGTTTGATGCTTCTATCATAGTACTGCTGTGACCAGTTAGTTCTTTATCATTGTGCTACTGTGACAAGTTAGCTTACAAAAAGGCCTTGAAAGCTTTTATCTTAGTTCTACTGTGACAAGTTAGTCTTTTATCAATGTGTTACTATGACCAGTTAACCTACACTGAATGTTGGTGCTTTTGTCATGGTATTTTTTTTTTTATAATACTTTTTAAAAACCAACTAGAGAGGTGAGTGGGGGTGGATGTCAGTGACCCGCAAGGGCTCAGAATGCTGAAGAAGAAGAAGAATTATTTGAAGAAAACAATTGTATTTTCGTTATTTGTTCCAAATTGTTCTGATTTTGTTGTTGTTGGTTTTTATAACTGGTTATAAAGAAATATTTGTCCAAGATGTAAACATTCTGTATCATCAGAGAAACAGCCAGCATAGTTTGTAGATTGTGCAACTATCACTTGTAAAATGACAAGTGAAATGAAATAATTGAGAAAAGCAGTCAACTCAACAAGTAAAGAATGATAGAAACCTGGATAGAATGAACCCAGCATTACCGGTTGCAAGAGCCTACAACATGAGAATAGAAACATCAAGAGGCAGAGTAAGGTCAAGAAGAAGATGATAGATGGAGTTAACAGCTTGCTGAAACTCAACAAAATCACCAATGCGGCAAGCTAAAATGTCCATACTATCCTGGAAACTGACCATTAGCCGTGCCTGCGACCCTTAACAGCATTAAGCAGAGAGAGACAATAGAGATAGAGCTAAATATTTCTCTAAGATTTAAATGTTCTATGTCGGAGAACCAGTCATCATAGCCTAACGGATTTTGCAACTAGCTTCTTCTTCTCTTCCATCTTGTACCTCATTGAAGTGTCGGGAAAGATGTAACGTTCGTTGACGAGCTCTGTCAAGAGCACTATAAAGACTGATGTTCATTTCTGTAAGGCTGTTCTTAATGCCATCACTCCATATTTTCTGAGGTCTTCCACTTGCTCTATACCTGTTGTAACGTTTTAGTGTGGCTCGCTGTGGTGGATAGTCCCAGGGCATTCTTGTTAGGTGTCCAAACCAGTTCATTTGTTGTTCTTTGATGACCTGTAAGACTGGCTTTATTCCTAACATTCGTCTGATTTCGTGATTTCGTATTCTGCAACTAGCTATTACTTTTAAAGTAATTGCATTTTTAAATTAAACATTTTACTCTCATCTATAGCTATAAGAATTATTATAAGCCTTTTAGGATAATGTGTCATATTAAAAAGAACTCCCTGTATTTTAATGTGAAAAAAATCATGGAGACAGCTAAAAGATCTCATTTGTTCATGAAATGGTATGCAGAAAGTTAAAATATCTTCTATGTTTGTGTAGTGGATTGCAAAATGTTAAAAGATTTTATATATTTATGCAGAAATACAAATATATGATATAATTTTGCTTTGGTATGAATGCAAATAAAATAACTTTAATAACTGCACACTGATATGCAGAATGTTAAGAGATCTTTATATTTATGCATTAGTATGCAAAAAAAAAAAGCTTAAGAGATTTTGTATATTTATGCATTTGTATGCACTAAAAGAACTTGCTTGATTATGCATTGTTGTGCAGAAAGTTTAAATTTAAAAGAAAAGGTGTTTAAAGATAGGAAGTTTGACTTGATTGCCTTGGATTTTATTCCAGATGGCTCGATATCACCTCTCTGCAGATAGACTGCAACACCCAGAGATCTCAAAAACACCTGCGTTTATGAACCAAAGTATGATATCAAACCCTTAACCTTTAAAGAACAAGGTAAACATCATAACCATTGTTTCTTAAGCATCTGCTCTCATGAATCAGAGGACAGAGTCGTAAGTCAAACCCACAATCTGCAGAGCATAAGGCACACAGTTTTACCACTTTGCCACAGACCTCCATGTGTTAAATTAATGCCTTTACCCTGTGTGGGTTCTGGAATCACATTTAGGGGGAGGGGAACACTGCCCCCTAACAGGTGTGTTGATTAGGTGACTAATTAGGAGTTTGCAGAAACCTTAAGTGTTGGGCCAAAAGGTGCAGATATCACAGCCTAGCTGTAAATGACAACACAACCACCCTTGTAAAGACCGGACCTCCGGGGCGACACAGGGTCCACTGGGAAATCATATCCAACAGTCTCTGACTGACAGAGGATTGTAATGCAACAAAGCCAGAAAGAAAACTGCTGATAGAAAAAGAAAAGTCTGCCAATCTCTCTGGCAAACCTCTACACCACAAAGTAGAACAGAAGCGACTAAGTAAGTAAGTAAGACAGAAAAAAATAATTCACCCTTACTTGAGAATTTGTACTGGCATTGACCGTTTTCTAGAATGTTTTAGATATGGTATTGTTGAAAGATTTTCTTGTTTAGGGTATCAAAGAGGTTAACATGTTATGTACAGGGTGTCCCTGTAAGTTTTCATACATAGGAAAAATACACATATCACCAGCGTCAAGACAAGCATGACTCCAGCTGTGTTTAAACATGTTCTTTAGCCGTGGAAGGCACACATCGAAAATCAGTTTGAGAAAATCATTATTTTTTCAGTGTATGAAAACTTATGGGACACCATTTCTTGGACATCATATCAGTCTTTGCTAACTTGACAAGGCTCAAACTTTATTGTGCCGTCTGCTGAATGTCAGTTTCTGAATTCGTAAATTGGAATAATGTTCTGATAAAGAAATATTTGTTGACAGTTGTCACGATTTTACTGTTGTTATTTAAATAACCTGACTTTTATATTTTATGATGTTCATGAATTGTTAAAAAATGCAATTTAAGTGTAGTTTGTGTGTCTCCTCCTCTCAACCTCTATTTATATACACTGTGTTTTTAGATTGTTGTTATCGATCCAGTGTGTTTTTAGATATATGTTTTTGTTTTTCTTTAAAAATAATGTACACAATAATGTAGATCTTATTTTCGCACGTGTAATTTACTCGTAAAAGGATACTGCAGTTTAGTCACAAAAATAACCTACAAAATCTTGCTTAGTGCATTTTTTTTTGGTTTCATATTTTTGCAATGCTTGGCCAGTTGGTATGGGTGGTCATACTTTTAAACTAGTACAGCATTTTTTTTTCCTGGTATCTTTTTTTTTTCTTGCAAGATACTTCAGTGGGTTGCCATTCTTTTCACTTCATCGTCATCTTGTTCTGCTGTTATGTATCACTTAGGGCTCGCGGCTGAATCTTCCATTCTGTTCTGTACGTAATTGTGTCCGAATAAAAGATAAACCAGTTCCAGCACTTT